CAGCGACTTGGCCACTGGTGGGCTTGCCCATAAGAATACAAAAACATTAGAAACTTACTTTACCATTACTTTATGCATTTATCATTACTTAAACCATTACTTTATGCATCTATGTCTTCATCATTCAGACTACTTTATGTAAATATAACATACACACATACATTGTGTCCACAGAATTCCTTACTCATCCTTTATTTTCACAACAGTTGTTCATACACATTACAAAAAATGTTTAAAATAATGCAAATATTTATGTTCTAGCAATTTTCATTTTAAGCAGTGTTTTTAAAAATTACAAAATCTATCTTTTAATACATTTCTCTGATCCCTATACTTATGCTTATGAAAATGCTAAATTTGTTACTAAAAAAATGATACAAATGTGTGACACTCATACAATGAAAATTGATCAAGGTATTTCATTTTAATGCTGGAAATCACAGTCAGGAACTGTACACAAACTGAAAAGCAAAATATTTGCATTTGTACATAACTAAATATCAGTTTAGAAAATTATTTCTGACGTTAGTAGATAATGTAAAGTGCATTTCTATGCTGACTACTGTGAAAAGTACTTACTTATATAACGTTTGAAAAGACATCTAGTTCACAGAATCTTATAAAATTTGTGCTCTAGAAAACATTGAAAGCTTCAGTATTGGAACACAGTCAACTTGTAACATGATTTGCTTAAATTTAAAACATTTCTAGTCTGATGAAATTTTCTATATGCTTTTTAAAAAATTATGATTCCAATGTAACAAAACTGCATGAAAATAGTAATAACATACTTTTAGCATTTAAAAACTTATAAATTAAATAGCATAAATTCTTTCATCTCACCAACTGTACATTTTTATAATTAAAAAAGTTACACACAAATAATTCACAAATGAATATCAATGATTGGCAATTAAAAAAAATCACCCTCAACTCATTTTTTTTATTAACTGACACCTGCAGGCAAATTAAAAATGATATATTTTGACCAATTTTTGTTATATAGGAGTCAATTTTTTTATATTTTTTATTATAAAATTTCCCTAAATATAGAGATTGGATGCATAAAATGTTAAGATTTTTTTTATTTTGGCGAAAACTGAAATTTCTTATTTGAAAGTGTCAAAACAAATATTTGCATCATTGAAAACATTTTTGTAATTTTATGTCTAAAACCCATGATTTTGAAACTCAGAGCCAGGACATGGGACACCAAAGTATTTTTTGAATAACTACAAGCAAAATTTCTAGAAGCTGTGGCTCAGACTATGGTGAGAACAGACTGCAGTGCCCCTAGAGATAAATTTTGCAAGTCAGCAATTTTATTATAAAAAGCATGAGATATAGTGAAAAATGTCACTATAACATAATACACATCATCATTGGTTTAGTATGAAATAATGCTTGTATAGAAATAACTTTAGCAGAAGCCTTCAAATACGTATCTTTCAGTATTAAATCAATTAAAAATGCATCAAAGACATAAAATTATAAAATTGATGCTAATTTAACTAATAAAACTAATAAGTGTACGGTTCCGAGTGTTACAGAAAAAAAAAAAAAAAACATACAGCTGTATGAGATGACAAAGAATGAATAAAACATTATGAAAAAGAATAATGCAAAAATTTGTTCTAGAATTAAGAAAGTAATAATACTTAAGCATACTTATAGCATTCACCATTGGAGGCAAGATACATCTGCATTCACACTATAACTTCTTATTGGATGTTTTGCAGCATTTCAAGAATTGTGTTAGAGGATACCAGTTCATAAATCATTAAGACTGCAGAGTGACAAGTTGCACACTTACTTGTTCTTTCACATTATCTCCACAACTTTTTTCTAATCCTGTGTCCAAAACTGTTCGGCAATAAGTTTCCAGTTGATGCAGTTACATTACTTCATTAAACTAATTACATTATTAAACATTTTGGAACTGTGACTTGAAAGCCTTTTTTTTTTTTTTTCCTGCGACCTATTGACTACACAATACTTTGTTGGCATGACATATCAGATCCATGACATTTGGCTCCAATACTTTTTAATGTGGCACTTTAGCCACAATATTTCGAATGACTATCACGTTACATGCATATTTCCAGTAACTGTGGAACTCTAGTCAAGAAAAAGGTACTAAATCTGGAGAAAATATACTAAACTTGTATTTGCTTTTGTTTCACTCAGATTGAAACATTCAACAATAATACTACCTCGTTTTAATGATATTAATCTCTTATTGGTATCACTATCTTTGATTTTCTAATTACATACAGACCTATCAAGAATTTTACAAGTAATCCAGATACTTCATTCATATTTGATTAAATTAATAAATTCATTCCATAATGATTAATTCATATCGATTCATTTAATAATGCTAACTGCATACATTCTTATATGTAAGAAATACTTATTCCTCATTTTTGACAGATTTTCATAAGTTCTCACTTTTAGAAAATAGTTTCAATTTTTCTTTTGTCAAAAGGATTTCATTTTGAAGGACACGTGGAAACTGAAATCTTATCATATTCATTCATTGTCATTACTGGAAATATTCTTTCAGTTGTTGCTTATGATGAGGAATGTATACATAAAAATGCAAAAATGAATTTTGCAAAGTGATACACATTTTCTAAAAAAAAAAAAAAAAAAAAAAAAGCTGTGGCCTGGAGGATAAAAATATCCTTAAAAAATAAAACCATATAAAGAAAGATAAAGTAATTTAGATTAAAATTAAAAATAAATTTAATATCCATTAACATAAATATAAAATATAACGCTTCGCTTAAGTTAGAATGCACATGTTTTAAGTAAAAAGTACCTCATGCACATCATCAGCATTTAATTGGTCAAGGCTTTCAACCTTGCCCCCTGCGTCGTTTCTGATTGCGAATATATTCCCACTCTTCCCTTTCAAAACTCAAATGTGCACATATTTATTTAAATTTATAATATTTTTTAATGTTTTATAAATTAAACCCAAAAAAAAAAAGGCATGGAAAAAATTGAAAAATACCAAAACTTAAACAAAAGAAGTTTTTATATTCCTAAACTAAATACTTAACAGGTAAATAAAAGGCTGACCTCACTCCCCTCTGAAACTATGTGGGAGTGGGAAATGTCCCCCTGTTTGAGAACTCCTGCTGTAAGGCTCATGAGCTGCAGCAGTGTGAAATAATATTATGTGATGCTGCCAAAGATGAAAACATGGAAAATTCAAAGTTGTTTGTGAATAGCATTCACAAGTTATTCCATACTCGATTTTGCTCATAACTATCAAAGTTGCAATATGCAGATGCAGGCTTTTAGAGTTGTCTGGATAACTATTCTTTCTTTATTGATTCTAACAGCAACTTAACTTTCTGTTTAACAATATGTCAAAAGGAAGTGGGCTTTTCATACTGATGAATCATTCAGAATAAAATTCACAGGAAACACACAATCAGATACTGTTATCAATAATTCTGTCTGGGCATCCATACTTATTATGAGTAGCAAGGGGCCTAGGATAGCAACTTTTATGATGATCATATGACAGAAGGAGGTGCCTAAGTACACTAATAAATTAATAATGCAATTTAAATTCATTAAAACATAGCTACTGAATCATAAAGCATCAGTGCGAGATGGCTAGGTACTCTTCTGTTATCAGGACTGGATTCAGAAATGTATGTATGCATGTATGGATGGAAGGATGTGTTCATGTATGCATGTATATAAGGATGTTGCACGCATATGTATGTGTACATATGTAGGTGCATGTCTGTATATATACACACACACATATACATATATGCATACATACACATGCACATGCACACATACCTACATTTCTGAATCCAGTACCGATAACAGAAGAGTACCGATGGCTGAAAGTGTCTAGACTCCTTTGTTCGCAACTGCTGTGACATGCACCTCTAATTCCTAGACATCATCAGCAATGTTTACTCTGTTGTTGCTGCTATGTAACCCCGGACTAACAACTGAGAGCAGCTGCTCTCTCCAGTCTTATATAGTTTTCACTCGACCACTGAGGAATCTCTAGTAAATTCCATTTTTCAAAATTACTGGAAGGCATATAAAGTTAAATTACATCTAAAGTTTCCATTGCATATAGTGATCAATTACATTTATTCAGTTACAATACCCATTACAGTTATACAGGGACCAGACCCAAATGTCGCCAAGCTTGACAACTTCTGGGGACTAAAAATTGTCGCCAAAACCATCGCCAGCTTGGTGATATTTCCCAATTTAGCTAGATAGCTATTTACTCAATGTTAAACAGACTTGGCCCTGTATTTGTACTTTTCTGGCACTTCTTCAGATTTTCATATGACATCACACAAAAAAAAATACAACCATTTCACTAAAATTATTCATTTATGTATAAACTTCTTAACAATGCTAAATACAGACAGCATATGGTAAAACTAAATAAATGTAAAAGTACTTTTTAAATCCTACATGACTACGAAAAGCAATCTACGTAGGGTGTCCCCATAGTTCTAGGAACTGAACTCAGTTCTAGAATTTTTATGCTATGCTATCAGCCAGACATAAGTCTTGATATGTTTATATAGCTATCCCATGTAATACTGTTTAGTTCAATTCAGTTGTCTGACAGATAGAAGCACATTTTTGTAGCACTGTTTTTGCGGCCACAGAAGACATGAGGAGCAATCATTTTGTTTTTGTGGAAAGAGGGTGTGAAAACTTAACTGATCAACATCTGCAAAGAGTATTCTATGCCCACATTTGTTTCCACATTTGGAAAAAAAACTATATGGGGTGTTTGATTTGAGAGAACACAGAAAATGCCTGTTGAGAACAACTTAAAAAAAAAAAACTCATTCCTTGTTGGGATAAGTATATGTAATTAAATAGGAATAAAATTAAAAAACTGAATTGTATTATTTATGAAAACTGATGAACTAAAAAAAAATATACCTAAATATACCTAGAACTTTGGAAACATCTCTCATATATCTACGTACCTTGATAGCAGGCAGACGCTGTTGAAATAATTCCTGCTCCCGATCAATTCCAGAAACTTGCCTTATACAGCAATACATTGGAAATCCCATTTTTAAATCGGCTTGATTCATAGACGAATTTCCCTGTAGAACACAAATTTTTATTTAAATATATACCACATAAAGATAAGCTAAATGCACAAATGTTCCAATAAAAATAACTGTGCATCATACAGTTTAGAAAGGGGAAAAAAAACATTATCTACATATTCATAAATTATTTATCCAGAACCTTCCAAGCATTTTCTGACACTGGAATCAACAACTTACACCAATAATCAGAAACACATTATTATCATGACACACTGTAAGCTGAGTCTTAGAATTGTCTCAAATTTTTGTAGTGAAATGAATTTCACTTCCTGATGATGACAATTGATTTCAATATTATAGTAGCCTGAAAAATGCTCCTAAGAATCAACCAACTATGTTTCTTCAATTATCCATTAAATAAACTAATCATTTAACAATTTAAATAATTTTCTATTATGCAAACAGGAAATCTTTTTTCAATTATGCATTAATTAAATTAATTCAAACTTCTAATATTATTTGCAAATACAAAAAAAGCATTAAATTAATTCTGCAACATTCAGTCTTCATGACAAAAAGAATCAAATTACGGTACTTACACATATTAATGGCACCGCACTATTAATGCAACCGCAGCAGAAGTTGCGCTGATGTACCAATAAAGAGCAAGCCTGTTGTTTGCATGCAGTTAATCTTTTGGATTCCTTTTTACCTTGTTGTTTGCTGATTTTTGATGACATTTTTTAGTGCTATGAAAATGCATCTTTGGGATTTGCCAAACACAGAAGAAGGTGCAATTTTAATTTTCAGGAGCAAAATATTTTACCAAAAAAAACGAAATATACCAATTTGCATCATATGAAACTTTATTTTGGTAAACGTACGTTTTGGAAATGTAATTTAAGACAGTGTGATCAGCAAGTGGGACTTAGAAAAGACAACTAGTTTGAAGGAAGCAGAATTCCATTTTGTTCAGCTTTGAGATCCATATGCTGCTGGTGCAAGAAGTAGACATCAATTAAATTTTGTGAAAAGAAACTTGATTTATCGGATAAAACTGTTATAGATTGGAACAATTACATGTGTGAATTATGTGTCTTGGATATGGAGAATAAACCAAACAAGAAGGTAGGTGGATCAGATTGCATTGTGGAAATTAATGAAAGTTTGTTTACTAAGCGTAAAAATAATTGTGGTTGAGTATTACCTGAACAGTGGATATTTGGTGGTATATATAGAGAAACAAAAGATTCATTTTTGTCACTGTTCCTAATAGACTGCTGAATAGAAGCACTGCTGATGGTAGCACAATTCATTCTGACAGTTGGAAAGGTTATCAAACAAAGAGAATAGAAAAAGAAGGATTCCTACATGCTAAAGTTAATCATAAATACAATTTTAATGATCCTGATACAGGAGTTATACACAAACAGTTGAGAGAATGTGGAGCAATGCTAAATGGAAGAACAAGAGACATAGGGGGACAGTGAGACGTCATTTAGAATCTTATTTAGCAGAATGGCGACAGCATAAGGTCAAAGAAAATAGACTGTTTTGAATCTATGTTAAACTCTATATCGGCCCATTTTCCACTGAAATCCGGTTGACTACTTTGATTTTAAATAAAATGGTTTGATTTTTGAAAGTGTTTTGATTTTAAATAAAGTGTTTTAATTTATGACTTGTTGCAGAAATTTTAGGTGTAGATTGGCAGCACTTAAAAACCGCCAAATCTGCAGCAGCAGTGGCATTAATACGTAAGTACCCAAATTACTTATAAACCTAGTTTTAAACTTTTTGCTCTCGATGCCAGAAGAATGAAGTGCCCTGTAGTGCTGTACATCCCCGTGTGTCTGAGTGCATTTTAGAATTAAGCCAAACATGCAAAAATAATTCTTATAAAAACCTGTTTTTTATTAGAATATTTGGATTTTTTCCGAGATTATTTAAATTATTTTTGTAACATAAACAGAAAATCGTGATATTTACAAAAAAATATAATTAAGTTAATTATAATGATTATTAAATCATTTTCATACAATAACAAGCTGAAAATTTTAAGAATTTAAATATCAGTGTATATTATATCCTAGTGCCATATATATAGACACAAAATTTTATACCCCTTGCAGCACATGAAATACTTTTAATCTCTGAGTGTGCATTGCGTGTTGTGCATGTTACATTCACAGAATAAAAAAATAACATAATAATTACAAGAAGATTAACACTCAAACATTTGATTTACTTAAATTTTATGGCATTCTGACATCATTTTTGCACATTTAAAAACTGAAATAAAATGTTCTATATTATCATATCGAATATCATACCGGTGGGCCGTCGATTACACTTCACTCCTGTATCACATTTTATATAGTGGACCCACAGAAGGAAGCTGAAATGTTAACATACATAACACTGAGAGCAAAGAGGTTAACACATTGACTGTTTGTTGTAGGGATGATTGGTGGCCAGCCCTCAACTTATTTACACCCCCATGGGGGGCTAATGGCGACATGACCAAAAGTTAAAAAATATTTAATTAGAGTAAATATTGATACTGATAAATTTTTAAATAATAACATTGTTTCTATAATGCTTTGAAGAATAATAAATTGCAAAAATATGAATAATAAATCGCAGAAATGGTCTATAGTGGCTCAGGGGTCACCAGTGACCCAACCACAAAAAATGCACTAAACATGATTATATAACTCATCTTATCTTGCAAATAATATTTTAACACAATATGCATCACATAATAAAAAATTCATGTTGCTGCCATGGGCAAACCACATAATATATGCTTGGCAGTTCAACATGTTAATCAGGGAACACAGATTTTCTTTATCGTACAATATCACCTAGTCCTTGAATTATTCTAATTGCATCATTCTCAACAAGCACACACCAATCCAGAAGCACAACAATTAAGACACAAGTACAAAAATTGCAATTTGAGATATAATAATGACTGCAACAAACAGAAATGTGGATATAAACATGCATGTCATATAATTAAGTCAGACAATTTTTTTTCTTAACAAAATAGGGTAGATTAGAATGACAGCATTCTTTGAGATCCCTAAGTTACTCCTTACCCATGTTTTCTAAGTAACATCTCTACATGAAAATTAAATATGTTTTGCATTTACAGTAAACAAAAGGTAAGAACTATACTCCAAATACGAAGTTATTTTTACTAACTAGAAACTTTAACCAGGTGCATGCATTTTAGTATGGTTCATTAGCACATAATAAATAAACAGTGCAATATTTTGCCTTAATTTAGCGATTAAATATGTTCAAAAAATTTTTTAAAAATAGCATAAAAACTTTAGGAATGTTTTATTAAAAAAATTCTTTTCTTATAGAAAGCATTTAAACAAAATACCAATTAAACCTCAAATTAAAAGAAATATGCAAACATTTTCATAGCACAAAACATATATAACAACAATATGCACTAAAAATGCATTAAAAATAGCAGTTAATAAAAATTTGGAAAAACGTTGATCAATTTTATAATTAATATAGCATCCTGTTACATACAACAAATTGTACAAATAAATAAATAATAAGTAAACTGTCAAATAGTACACAAGATATCAATATCAAAAACTACAAAATGATAGATGCCAAATGGTAACAGTGCCTTTCAACTATACCAGGGGAGGTTAAACTTCATCTAAGTACATGTCACACAATATAATTCAGAATTATTCAAAAGCCACACCTAGATTTTCCAAAAACAGTAACTAAATATTTATATGACCTTAGAAACAGAAACACATTTTAATTAAATTAACAAAGATTTCTCATTTTCAAATTAATGAATTATTTATGATAGAACCGTCACTGCATAATGTTGCAGTAATAGAATTTGCTTCTGTTTGTTACTCTTGTTTATAAAACAAAATTAAACAAAGTAAAGAGACTTCTAAAAATGTGTGGCCTGTAGTTAAATTCAAACTAAAAATCTTAAACCTATTGCTCAAACAACCTCATCTAACCTGCTTTTCTCACTTATTTTTTACATATGTGCAGTTTTTTCCATGCAAATATTCATTTACGGACTGCTATAATTATGCAGAATTTGGGCAAAAGACCAAAGGTTCATTTATAAGAATTCAATTAATCTGTATCTTTAAATGTCCACAGTGCACAAATCATGGAAAAAAATCTAATGTACCTGCATATTCATATCGCGCACTCATTTGGGGGGGGTATTTAATGTTTTGTAATATCTGCTAATTTGGTCTGTTGTTATCGATGTGATAATTATTTCTTTTTATAACTAGCATTAAGTGCAAAGGCAAGTAACAAAATTCAGGGAACTAGATACTATTATTCAAACAGTCTTTTAAAATAGTAAGCACTATACTTCCATAAAACTCCATTAAAAAAAAATGCAAATACAATAGCAAAGTACTGCATGCAGCTGAAATGACAGAAATAAAATAAATAATGAACAGCAAAGCTAAGACATTACACACGACTGACCCCCCCCCAAAAAAAAAAACTATCAAAACGAAATAATTTTAAATTATGGAAAAACACAGAAAGCCTCATCAACTTACTTTAGCTGATGGAAGATACTGCTCAAACAATTCTTGTTCTCGGTCAAATACGTTAATTGACCGAATACAGCAATACAAAGGAGTTTTTCTTTTCAAATCAATATAATCTATAGAAGAGTTTGCCTAAGGAATATAAACAAGCACTTAGAATATCATAACATATAAATAAAAACATTTAAATATATTTATTGCTTCAATAACATTCCTCCTGGAGGGAAGAAAAGGAATTAAACTATCATATTCACAGTTATTTTATCAATAACTGCATTTTTGGAAACTCTGGAATATACTACTTTCCTTGTATGTGCTTTCACTTCTGATCATAACAGATTTTACTATTTCATTAACTTTTAAGCATTAACACATTTCTTGCCTTATGTTTAATTTAATTACTAAAGGTAGCTAATGCCTTTTTTTGCACCCAGATATCAAAATACGTTTAACAAAGAAACCCCAGATATGAAAAATACATTTAACAAAACCACCTCCAGTCTTCCTGGTTTAATATATATATATACACTGTTTTACAAAAAAACTGAAGCACCATGAAGGATGTGGTTGCTTTTTGATGAAATTGAATATGTGTACAGCTCATACACAGACAATAAAATGATTAAAAAATCAAGGTCATAGTACCTGTTCATGGCTCACAATCACCCATTCAGTGTTCAAATTAGTAGTTGGTCGGCAATGCATGCTTGATTTCGTCGAGGCAAGGAGTGGTCGAGGTTCCTAATGTCATCCTGTCACATATTCTGTCGGGCATTCATCAGTTGTCATTCCAGATCTGCGATATTTTGTGGTGCCCGAATCTGGCGGCCTACCATGTCCCAGACATGCTCTATTGGTGAAAGGTCTGTGACCCCACTGGCCAAGGAAGAGTATCAACCACACGGAGACAGTCTAGAGATATGCGAGCGGTATGTGACTTGGCATTATCTTGTTGGAAAATGGCCCCAGGATGATGTGCCATGAAATGTAATGCAACCGGCCGCAGGATGGTATCAACATATTGTTCAGCTGTTAAAGATGTAGGGAGGATGACTAAAGATGACCTACTGTCATAAGAAGTGCCCCACACCATCACAGCAGGGGTTACGGCTATATGTCTTTGTAAAACAAAGGCTGATTGGGACCGCTGACCCCATCCTCTCCAAACATGAACACAGTGGTCATCTGCTTCAAGAGTAAAGCGGGATTCATCGCTGAACACTATATGATGCCAGTCTGATGGCAGCCATGATATCGGCTGCAACACCACTCCACCGATGTGGGGTCAAAGGCAAACGTTTTAAAGGCCTCTGTGAGCGTAACCCCACCTCAGACAAGTAGCCTGAGGTGGTGGACGGTACCACGGGAGGTATAGATGTGGCTGTAGTGCATTGAATAATCAACAATGATACCATTGGGGCCATCCTATCTTGCCTCGCATTTGTGCTTCTTGGCCTTCCAGAGCCTTGATTTCATCAGCAATTTCTTTTTAGCAACCACTGCTGCCAACATCTTTGCACAGCAGTGTCTGTACGCTTCAGGTGGTCTATTGCTCGGTATGACAACCCAGCTTCATGCAACTGTACAATGTGACCACGTTCAAAGCCATTTAGTTGTCTGTAAAGTCTTCGGTATTGTCGTAATGGCATCTTTAGTTGCTTCTTTCCAGAATTACATTGGGAGCAACAAAAAAGATAAATTTTCTGCCTCTGCTACTGGTTTTATACTTTGCGAATTGAGCAATAGAAATGTGCGCTATGATCACAATTCCTGTTCATTTGCCTTGAAACACTGATCATTTGCATGTTCGATCAACCAAATTTCATCACAATTGCAGAAGTCCTTCTTGGTACTTCGATTTTTTTGCAAAAAAGTGTATATTAAAGTACTGTTAGTTTTTCATGTTGATTTAATAAAATTTGTTTTTTCTCTTCTCTTCATTCAAATCATGTAATTTCCGAATTACCATAATTACCTCATTCACTTCTTGCCAGTAAAATTCATTTTTGCAAATATCAAAATTGAATTATAATCAGCAATCTTCATATCATTTTTTAATTTTAATAAAAAAATATTCTACTACACACTAGAAATTTCATAATTAAATACATCGACTGAAAAAAACAGAAAAATGCAGTGGAATTGAGCTCATAATCTTACAAATAATTTCATCAGTACAAAGTCTTTAATCCGGACGTCCATAATCCGGAATGATCTACAATCCGGACCTCAACACTACAAACTTTCTGCGCATGCATAGTGTTTATGCATGTGCATAATACCTTTACCAGTGTGCATAATACGTTTATGCATGCGCGTTTAATGTATAACGAATGGTATAAGCTAGGCTAAAATTATCTAATTATCTATTTCAGTTAATGTTGCAGATTGCATTGTTCCTTAATCTTCTAATTGGATCCGGCTTATTATTTTTTGCAGACTGTTAGAGCAATTTTATAAAAAGTAAGCTTGAAACTTTTGATTACGTCAAAAAGAGTTTCCGATTCTGGAGCTGACAAAGGATCTACAAAGCGAAAGCATGTTCTGATGTACCGCTTCCGAGAGTGAAAAAAGTGACAGAGAGATTATAGAAAACGAAGAAATTTTGATTGACAAGTTAGTCGGTATTTTTGACACAGCAATTACAGGACTTAGTGGAACTGAACAAGAAATTATGTCTGTTTATAGAATTAAAGAGAAAGTATTAGCACAAAAAATGAAGCAACTTAAACAACTTACATTGAAAGAAATGTTTAATAAAGTAAACAAATTATTAAGCCTTTTTTTTTTTTTTTTTTTTTTTTTGTAAATTTTGATACCCTTTAGATCATAATTGCTCGTTATTTCATAAATTACGGTTTCATATTTTTAATTTTATAATTTCCGCATGCCACCTACCAGATTTAAATTGATGCTCTATAATCTGGAAAAAACCTTAATCCGGAATCACCGAAGTCCGGATTAGGGTCCGGGTACTGACGAGTCCGGATTAAAGACTGTACTGTATTAAAATACTTAAATTCCAAATTATAAAATTATACTTCACAACAAAGAATTTACAAAAAAATTACCTTCAAAATAAAGTGCTGGCAAATAAAACTGCCATGCCATGAAAGACAAGTGATGACAAAACCTTATTTATTCTACAAATACCACTAATAAAAGGCTGAAGGTGACTGAAATTTCAGATTGCTTTGGTGTATGCTGACTGGAGATATCAATACCACATGCAGGCACCAAGGTTTAAAAAAACTGCCACACAACTGGTCATGGAATAAAGCAAATTCCAGAGGTATTCGAGTTCTGGAACTTGCTCAAGAGCTCGAGGTATTCATTTTGGGATATACATGAATTCTGGCAAAGGCTAAAGTCATAAGGCTCCAATTTAGCACTACAGATTAGCACTACAGATGCTAGAAGTTGCTGCACTCTATGCAACCATGGACCAGAAATGTTCATTTAGTGAAAGAATTGATGAATTCCTCTGCCAAGGTAGAAGTTAACATGCTGTCAGTAAAGTATTAGTTGCTATGTGTAATATACAGTCACCCTTTTACAGATACTTTATACATACCATGCAGCCAGAATAATCATAACTGTTCCACTATGCTGTTCCACTACCTGTACCTAGGCAATCTCGATTATGGGGATAAAAAATCATGAGCTTAGTGGTTTCAGAACACTGAAGGAAGATAGTTTCATTCAGTTGGACAAGGGGGATTGGTAAATATTACTGCCCTGTGTTACTCCGTCAAGCGGTTGGGCTGCCGGACAGGAAAGTGGCCCTTCAGTGAGGAGAGAGGTAAGAACTCTCTTGGTCTCCACTTGGTGTGGTTGGCCCACAGGCATAAGTGTCCGAGCCCATGTACTACTAGTGGGAGCATTTAAAACAACCAGTCAGATCTCCAGGTGTCCACGTTCCCTGCCACGGTGAAACATGAGAACTGGGAGTGGTGACCCCACGGGCCCAGCATGTAGTCGAGGGTTGTAGAGATTTTCAAAGTTTGCCACCTCAGATTTGGAGCCCCGGAGTGGTAGGATAAGTGAACGTTTTCCTCTTGATGAACGATTTGACTAGCAACCCTCCCCTTGTATATAGGGTTTCTCAGCTGGGTCAAGTTCATGCAGTGTCTAATGATGGAGCACATAAACAAGTACTATTATTATTATTATTATTATTATTATACCAGCATCCAATACTGCAATTCCAGATATCTGACTAGTATGACAATGACTAATACAACATTCCAAAAACTGATTTGAACAGTGCAAAAGATGATGCAAAAGTGAAAAATTTCTGAATTCTGAGCCTTTATACATCATTCAATGTATCATCACAGCCACTGGTGTCTGTGCTATCTGTTAAAGATATGTAAAGCAAAGGTCATCTCACAAACAGCCCATAATTCTGCAAACAGTGTTGCACTATACAAATAGCTCCATCATTTTCAAAAAAACTCATATAAGTTCATTTTTTTTTAATTTAATAGCAAACTTCATTTGATATTAAGAGTTTGCTTTCTGTTATTCTGAAGTTAGCCACTTTTCTGTTTCTACTGTGTTGTTTCCAAATAATCGCTTTCCTGCATGTTATCAAGTTAGTATATGACTTCCTAACTGGGAAGCATGACTTTCATAAAGGGGTGTAACAGTTTGCAATGAGATTTGTGCATATTTCCAGTTTACCGCTGGCCTCTGCACCCTTCAACAGAACATCACCCACACAATAAAAACAGCTGCCACTAGTTTGCACAATGACATGATCCTGCCCATCAAAGAAGAATCCAATGTACTAATATTCAAAATTGAAAGCAAGACACTACCATCATCAGCTTACATAACATCACAATGACAAGATGGATCCACAATTTCATATAGTCCCTTTTTATATAAGTACAGTACAAAGTGTGTAATCCGGACATCCATTATCCAGAATGATCTATAATCCAGACCTCAAAGCCACAAACTTACGCATGCGCGTTCAAAGCGTGCATGCGCGTAAAGCATTTACCCAAGCATTACCATGCGCACTTCCGATAGTGAAGAAAGTGACAGAGAGGTTATTGAAAACAAAAAAACTTCAATTGACAAGTTAGTCGGTATTCTTAACACAGCAATTACAGGACTTGAAC